CTCCTCAGCCAACGCCCACCAGCGACTGGAACCATAAGCTGTCTGGGGAGCTCCAGAACCACGGAGAAGCTGTGCTCTGAAGGCTTCTGGAGGGCAACATCCGGGCAGCTCCTTCCAATTAAGGGGTGGGCTTTGGCCGAAGCAGCATCCGGGGCTTGAAGCCCCCAGGGAACGGAAAACAAAAGGGAGGGCAGGTGTTGTCACTGCCTTGGAAGTGCTCCCATTTGCCACAGACAAAAGGGACTCATAAACTCACAGACCTCTCTTGATTCTGAAAACTGGTTTCAGCGCTTTTCACCCAAAGGTTCCAACATGCCTCACACCATAAACGACAAGCCATAGAATTAAGGGACCACAGAGCTGGAAGGGGGTCTTAAGCCCGGAAGCTGCACTGAAGCCCCCATGAAGCAGTGCGCGTGGCTCTGCTCCAACACCCCCAGGCAGCGCCGGGGAGCCCTACACCTCTCAGGGTCAGCAGTTCCCCCATTCACCGGCTCCCCATCCGCAAGGCTCCGCCAACTTCCCAACTGCTCTTCGGTAACCGAGGACTGGGACTCCAGAGAACAGGGCCTGACCTCCTTCTGCGTAACGTCCTTGGGCCCTTCATATTTATTTATTTACTTAACCAACCCCTTTATATGGCTGCCCACATATCCCTTCAGCCTTCTCAAGGCTAAAGACTCCCAATTTCTTCTCTCTCTCTCTCCTCTAACCACTGTTGTTGCTGTTCTCTAAATCAGATATCCAGTCTTTCCCAACCTTGGCCGCTTGAAGATGGGTGGACTTCAACTCCCAGAATTCCCCAGCCAGCATGGGGACCTCTGGCCAAGGCTGGCCAAGGTTGAGAAAGACTGGCTATCTGAAGACTCCAGCCCTGACAGGGCATGGACTGGAAGACCTCCAGGGTCCCTTCCAACCCCGGCCTTCTGGGAAATCCTTCCCAAAGGGCCATAGTCAGAGCTGGATACGGCATTCATAGAATTATTTACTTTATTTGTATTCCACCCATTCCCGGGCTCAGAGATGGGGTAAGCACACAAAATAAGCAGAACAATCACCTCCCGTGATTTGGGAATTATGTCCTTCCGTTGAGGCAACCTAGAATTGCATTTGCGTTTTTTTTGTGACCACAACGCGTTGCTGGCTCATATCCAGTACGCAGTCAACTCCTCTTCCGAGACCTTTTTCAGAAAGACCGTCCCCGAGCCAGGTATTCCTCATCCTGTCTCTCTCTCAAATTTTATTCTGTTGTATTTAGCACCTTTCTCTATTTTATCAAGGCCGTTCCAAATAAATTTGTCTTCCCGGTTATTGGCTCTCTCACACACCGTTGTTATCTGCAGACCTGATAGCCTTCCCTCCACTTCTTCAGTCACGTCATTAATAACTCTGAGGCGTAGCAGGCGGAACCTCGCAGCAGCCCATCCAGAGGATTCCCAGCTCCAGCTTAAGGAGGAACCCCCGGTAAGCTCTCCGGATGGTCCAGTCGCCCAGCCCGCAGCTCACAAGTTGCACTACTGTGAATGGCCCTGGGGGGGTTGCCGGCGGGGGGGGGGGGTGGGGGGGGGGGGGGGGGGGCTGGAAGCAGAGCCTTAACAGAGAAAACCAGGTTCACCACCCAGGAGCCAATTCTGTCCCAGCGCCTGCAGGGTCACCCTCCGGACAAAGAAGTTGGCCGCTGGGGGTTCTGGTGGCTCTCCTGAGGATAGGTAGGGAACTGCCCTTACTGTATGCGCTTCCCCTCAGGACAAGCAGTCTTGGCAAAGCACAGAAAAGGAGAAAGGAAACAGAAAAGCCACCCAGCGACCAGCACGCCCTGCAGCCCGAGAGGACGTTGGCATCCCCCAAAGGCCTCCTCCTTTCTCAGTTTCATGTTATATCATGAGGATGTGCTGAACGACAACGCGGTCCCGTTATCTCCCCGATGGGCGGAACTGCCTCTCCCACCAGCCACCGGCCACCGTGGCCACCCTACTCCATCAGAGGGTGCCGGGTCAGAGAAACCGCTGTCCTTTAACGAGCACCCAGGAATCCCCCCTCCCCCTTGGGAGCCGGGCCCCAGCTTTTAGTGCTGAGCTCTGCAGGGACTCTGCAGCCAGGCCGCTGCACTTGACAACCATTAACGGGAGTCCACATGATGGTCAAAAGCTGTTCCTTTTTTCCCCAGGTGCAGCTGGGAAGACCACATAAGATACTCTCCCTTTAATGTTAAGTCAAGTCATTTAGGTTGACTAAAGCTTAATGGACCTATCCACCCACCAGTGAAAGAGCAAAAAAGTGCCTGACTAGGGAGCACCGCTCAGAGCAGAGGCCCTCCAGAGCCCCCTCCGCCTGGAAAGAAGGATGCTGCTGGGGGGGCAGCCCCCAGGGTCCCGGGGCTTGCTTGGTGCTGGCTGTCCTCGGGCCCAAGGAGAACCTCTCCTGCCCGGCTGGCCACGGGGGCCCCGCCCATCTGGGCTGGGGAATATGGGGCTGGTGGCCACTTCCTCACAAGCTGTTTCTACTCCTGAGCAACTGAGGTTGCTGTAGCTTCAATGAAAACCGCTTTAAAAATGCACTAAACCGAGCCGGTAGCAGAGCCCGGGGCTATTTTTATCGCGGACCTGAGTGAGCCA